TTACATGCCCTGTCTGTCTGTCTGTCTCTCTGTCTGTCTGTCTGTCTCTCTGTCTGTCTGTCTGTCTGTCTCTCTGTCTGTCTGTCTGTCTCTCTGTCTGTCTGTCTGTCTCTCTCTCTTTCTCTCTGTGTTCCCTGGCAGAAGGAGGTCACCGTCCCAAGCAAGAGATAGAATGGAACGAGGACGAAAGATAACACACACACACACACACACACACACACACACTCACACACAACACACACAGAAACAGTCACTATTCATCAGTTGGTATCATAGGATCTCTTGTCGACGAGGTTTATGGGTTAAGGGAGGGAGGGAGAGTTTCGTCCAAGTGGAAGGTTGATGGCCATCCCTCTAGCCCTTCAATCGATCACAGCATCAACTATTCATATATTCATGAAGAACTGGCTTACAAATATATCAAAATTCTCTAGTGTGTTTCTCTAGTTGCAGCCCGACCTTTCTCTCTCTATCTCTCTTTCTCTATCTTTCTTAGTTAGTCATTAGAGCTCCTGTGGTCCTTCCTTCCTTCCTTCCTTCCTTCCCATTGCTGTTTCCTCTCTCCCTTCCTTCATTCCTTCCTTCCTTCATTCCCATTGCTGTTTCCTCTCTCCCTTCCTTCCTTCCTTCCCATTGCTGTTTCTTTCCTTCCTTCCTTCCTTCCCATTGCTGTTTCCTCCCGTCCTTCCTTCCTTCCTTCTCACTCACCCCTTTGCCCCCTTGCTCTATTCTTCCTTTCTTCCTCACTCTCCCCCCTTGTTCTCTCCTTCCTCTTTTTATCTTGTTATCTGTCTTTCTCCATACCTTGAATTCTTCTCTATTCTCTTATCGCCCCTTTATCTCCCTGTCTCTGATTTTTCTTTTCTTTTATCTTACTCCTTCTCCACCTCCTCCTCCTCCAACACCCACACCCTCTTCCTCCAACACCCACACCCTCTTCATCCAACACCCACACCTTTTTCCTCCAACACCCACACCCTCTTCCTCCAACACCCACACCCTCTTCCATCCTAGCAACGTCATATTCCTCTTGCTGTGTGGCAACTGTACAAGTGTCAACCAACCGTAAATCAGGTTGGTTACACCGGCAAATTAACCCGGGTTCCCCCTAGCCACTTGCAACACACTCCGTTCTCATTGACAAAATATCATCCTTATGTTGATAAATTTTCCTCATTTAACCTTGCAACATTATTCACCTTTATTGTTTATTAATTTTATTCATTTTAATGGATGAAAAAAAAAATAGTTACTTAGAATTATCGGATTTTTTTGTGTGGATATCTTAGGTTATTTCGTAACCTTATTACAGTTAGGTTTGGTTTAGGTTTGGGTTTGGTTTAGGTTTGGTTTAGGTTTGGTTTTGGTTTGGTTTAGGTTAGGTTAGGTTAGTTGAGCGTTGAGTTGTTTGATCTTCAGGTAATTCATATCTTTTTTTTTATACATTTAACTTGTAGAATTTTAAGTTATGTGAGGATGGATGAGGGAGGTGTGAGGGAGGTGTGAGGGAGGTATGAGGGAGGTGTGAGGGAGGTATGAGGGAGGTATGAGGGAGGTGTGAAGGAGGTGAGGGAGGTGGAGGGGAGGTAAGGAGGGAGGTGGGAGGAGGTGCGGGAGGGGAGGTGTGTGAGGCATGAGGAGGTAAGGAGGGAGGTGTGAGGGAGGTGTGATGGAGGTGTGAAGGAGGTGTGTGATGGAGGTGTGAGGGAGGTGATGGAGGTGTGAAGGAGGTGTGAGGGAGGTGTGAGGTAACAGCCATCATTAATGCACTATTAATATGAATAACGATGCTGACGTCACCGATCATAGGGCTTATTACTCAGGTGCACAGGTGCTTCCTCCCCCCTACCTCCCTCCCCCTACCCTCCCCCTCACTGCTCCCCCACCCCCCTCTCCTCATACCGGCTCTGATTGTACCTAGACGACCCTGATTGGCCCAAAGTGGCTCTAATTGTTCTTCCTCGGCTTGATTGTTCCTGGTTGGGTCTGCCTGTACTGCTGGGATTCTCTCAATTCTGATGGTGTAGTGAGTTATGTAAATAATACGAAAATTATACCTTTATCTACTACTACTACTACTACTACTACTACTACTACTACTACTACTACTACCATGATCTATAGTCAATGGTTGGTTCTATTCACATTAATGCACTTATACAACCCACTCACCTAATTCACACACACACACACACACACACACACACACACACACACACACACACACACACACACACACACACACACACACACACACACACACACACACACACACACATACACACACACACACATACACACACACACATACACACACACATACACACACACACATACATACACACACACCCACTTACACACCCACGTACACACACTAATCCTTACACACACCCACGTACGCACACTCACGTACATAACTCATGGATAGTGAGATGCGCTCCCTGAAGCACCATTGATGGAGGTGATATTATTGCATTCCTGTAGAGTCGCCCAAATAAATGGTGTCATAATCACACAGGCGTTTGTAGGTGTGGAGGACAGGTGTGTGTAGGTGTGTGGAGGACAGGTGTGTGTAGGTGTGTGGACAGGTGTGTGTGTGTGTAGGTGTGTGAGGACAGGTGTGTGTGTGTAGGTGTAGAGGACAGGTGTGTGTGTAGGTGTGTGGAGGACAGGTGTGTAGGTGTATGGAGTGACAGGCGTGTGTGTGTGTGGGTGTTTTGAGGACAGGCGTGTGTGTGTGTAGGTGTGGAGGACAGGTGTGTGTAGGTGTGTGCAGGACAGGTGTGTGTGTGTACGTGTGTGTGGGGGAAGACAGATGTGTGTAGGTGTGTGCAGGACAGGTGTGTGTGTACGTGTGTGGAGGACAGGTGTGCATAGGTGTGTGGAGGACAGGTGTGTGTAGGTGTGTGCAGGACAGGTTTTACACTTATGTTCATGTCTGTAGTTGAGAGAATTTCCTTTGATATACATCTAACTATTAATAAACACATAGAACTGCAGAGTAACTTTTCCTTTACCCAGAGAGAGAGAGAGAGAGAGAGAGAGAGAGAGAGAGAGAGAGAGAGAGAGAGAGGTCCTATAATTCAATCATTTACATACGTCATTCATAATTATCTTCAACAGTAGCAGCAGAACACGTGACCTGGCTTATAACAGGTGTGACAATACCTGTGTTGTGTGTGGGTGAACAAGTGTAATACCTGGGAGTTAAGTGATGAAAATACCTCCTTTGATCTTTTGTGTACATATATCACCTTTGTGTACCTGAGAGATTTAAGGCCAGGTAAAAAGAGGTATATATATATATGTCTTACCATTTCATTCTCTCTATTTCTCACCTCTCTCTCTCTCTCTCTCTCTCTCTCTCTCTCTCGAATGTAAAAAGAGCCAGTTCACTCATAGTTCATCGTCTGACACAATCTCTGTCTGACATTTCCGTTACGCAAATGTGTGTGGGCGTGGTGTGTGTGTGCGTGGTGTGTGTGTGAGTGTGTGTGTGTGTGTGAGAGAGAGAGAGAGAGAGCGAGAGAGAGAGAGAGAGAGAGAGACAAACAACATTACTTAAGCGTCTGCCAGTTAAACATCTCCATCTTCTTCTTCTTTATTCTTCTTTACAAACAAAAGCAAAACATAAATTAAAAACAAAATAAAAGACAGAAAACTATTTATCTCCTCGGAATAACGATACGGCGAGGATACCTTAAAGAAAAAGAAGAAATAATAGGAAATAAATCCATTGTAACTTAGATTCTCCTTTTTGCGTTTCCTATACACAGTGAGGATTTGAATACAGTCTCTCTCTCTTTATGTAGGGCAATTAATACAAAGAGTACACAAGAGTTTATGTACGTTTTTATACTCCTCTTAGCTGTAGGGGGGAGGGGAGGGGGCGGGCAAAGGTTGACTGACTCTTGCTTGGACATATTTCACGGGTAGTAAAATTCGCGTTTTCTTCACACACACACACACACACACACACACACACACATACATACAGAGACTGTTTTATGGAGCATCGGTAATTCTCAGTCGTGTGTTTGTGTGTGTGTGTGTGTGTGTGTGTGTGTGTTCTGATGTCTCGTGTTGATGGTGGTGGCGAGCTGTAAGGTCCTGTTAGAGAGAGAGAGAGAGAGAGAGAGAGAGAGAGAGAGAGAGAGAGAGAGAGTCGATTACATGTTTTCACTCTTTAATCAGCTAAGAGCAACACTTTAACCTTTCACCAACCACTGTAGCATCATACGTCACTTAACCTGAACAGCGCCTCCACCCCCTAAGACGTCATAACACCGAGTAGATCTCTCTCTCTCTCTCTCTGTAGGGCTCAATAATACTACACATTTGCTACAAGAGAGAGAGAGAGAGAGAGAGAGAGAGAGGTGCACTTACCATACACATGATTATTTGGCCACACACAAACACACACACACACACACACACACACACACACATAGATATACATATTCTTCTCTACTGTACTACGAGGACATAATAATCGCATGTATAGTCTGTATGGAAACTTAATATACACACTGGATACATAATACATGCCATAATATATGTATACACTCACAAGAATGTATACACTTGGAAACTAATACACACACTTATACACTATCACCTCATCCCCCTTTCCCTTCTCCTACCCCCACCCCCCACCCCCCTCCCACACCCCCCTCCTTAGTGGCGAAAGTCCAGGAATGTTAATGAGGAAAACTTCTCCCAGTATTGGCTGAAGGAACGGTAACTAAAAAGCAATTAGTCACTTCTTACCTGCCTCGGCTAATTAAGAAGGCCTTCAGGTATTGTTCGTTTTTGTCCCTTTTTTAACTCCAAAATTATTAACTCCCCCCCCCAAAAAAACATTCAAATATTCAGGATAACACAAACATATGTACATTAGGTCATTATTTTATGGATTATAAGTTCATAAACACTACAGGTCTTTATTCGTATTATTAACTCATCTCTCAATACCGAGTTTGGCGAACGTCAGACGAACGATGGCTGAGTCATTGGTGCCAACGAGCTTTTAAATATGCAAATTAAGTCTCTAATTTGCATATTTTAAGATGTTAAGCTTTGCAGTTTTTGTTTAGGGTCGACTGTCTTCATCCCTAAAAACAGAGTCGACCAGATCCTCCTGTACCATATTCAACCAGATCCCTGTACCCTATTCAACCAGATCCCTGTACCATATTCAACCAGATCCCTGTACCATATTCAACCAGATCCCTGTACCATATTCAACCAGATCCCTGTACCCTATTCAACCAGATCCCTGTACCATATTCAACCAGATCCCTGTACCATATTCAACCAGATCCCTGTACCCTATTCAACCAGATCCCTGTACCATATTCAACCAGATCCCTGTACCATATTCAACCAGATCCCTGTACCATATTCAACCAGATCCCTGTACCATATTCAACCAGATCCCTGTACCCTATTCAACCAGATCCCTGTACCCTATTCAACCAGATCCCTGTACCATATTCAAGATCCCCTTATGCCAGATCCTATTCAACCAGACCTGTACCATATTCAACCAGATCCCTGTACCCTATTCAACCAGATCCCTGTGCATTCAACCAGATCCTGTACCCCTGTTCAACCAGATCCCTGTACCCATTCAACAGATCCCTGTACCATATTGTACCCTGATATTCAACAGATCCCTGTACCCTATTCAACTAGATCCTGTACCATATTCACCAGATCCCTGTACCATATTCAACCAGATCCTGCCTATTCAGCAGATCCCTGTACCATATTCAACCAGATCCTGTACCATATTCAACCTTGAATCCCTGGATCCCTGTACCATTATCCTGTACATATTCAACCAGATCCCTGTACCATATTCAACCAGATCCTGTACCATATTCAACCAGATCCCTGTTCTATTCAGATCCAACCCAGATCCCTGTACCCCATTCAACCAGATACCATATCAAAGCATATTCAACCCAGATCCCTGTTCTATTCAACCAGATCCTGTGCCCTATTCAGCAGATCCTGTACCATATTCAACCAGCCTGTCCTGTACCCTATTCAACCAGATGAATCCCTGTACCATATTATTCAACAGATCCCTGTACCATATTCAACCAGATCCCCCATATTCAGATCCTGCCTATTCAACCAGATCCCTGTACCCCATTCAACCAGATCCCTGTACCCCATTCAACCAGACTAGTCTTCACCGTTTTTAGGATCATTACCTGGACTCTAAAGACATCCTGAGAGAGAGAGAGAGAGAGAGAGTCCTACCTCTATTATTACTAACTTGACAACAGGAACCAACACTGCTCTATGCTCCACACCTCAGCTGTCAAGGCAAGTGATGATGTCTTCTGACGAGAGATCTATAGATACCTCTTGACAAGACTTGACAGGTGAACCACTTTTTTCAATGAGAGAGAGAGAGAGATACGACCCAGTTCTTTTCCCAATTCTGGTTGCGTTCTCTTACTCCTTTAGCCTTAGTTATGAGAACCTAACCTAACCTAACCAAACCTAAACCTACAGTAACCTAACCAAACCTAAACCTACAGTAATCTAACCTAACCTAACCTAACCAAACCTAAACCTACAGTAATCTAACCTAACCAAACCTAACCTAACGTAACCTAACCTAACCTAACTGGATTATATGAATTACGTCAGAATAATGGATGAACAAAATGGCCGACAAATATCATAGAGACTCACTTATTTCGGATCACCTGAAGTTACCCTCCTGCCCCAGTTTATTTAACCTGATGATTATACACCCTAAAGCTATCTGGGGGTTAGGTTAGGTTAGGTGGGGGAAATAGAGAGGTGTGTGGGGAAATAAAGAAGCGTGTGGGGAAAATAAGGACGAGGGAAAAAAGAGATGTGGGGGAAAATAAAGAAGTAAGTGTGTGTGGGAAAAAAAAGCCCACTGGGTCAATTAGGAATTTCATGTAAAAGAAAACGAGACTAAGACAACAATTTCAAGGGGATAACTAATATATAAAAGGAATCCCGGCCAAGAGTGACTTATTTTTTGTAGATTTCTCGTTTTATTTCTGTTTTAATGTAATGTCTGTTTAGTTATCCCTTGAAATGTTGACAGTTTTACTCTTTCTTCCTTATTATTGTTGTGTGTTTTTTTTTGCGTTCTTTTAATGTTTAGTATTTGCATGTTTATGTTTATACCAGTTAATGTATGGCTTAATAAACATGGTGTGTGTGTGTGTGTGTGTGTGTGTGTGTGTGTGTGTGTGTGTGTGTGTGTGTTTTATTCATCATGTAGGCTGCCTATCATACAAACATCATGTAAAATATATATTCATTTCCTCTCTCTGCTGTTGAATGAAAAAGTTTCAATTTCGAACTAAAACTAATAATGAATTCCAAGTATCTATCAGTACTTTTTAATAAAACGAGCCCGGAATGGTAACACCGCTGTATATGTAATAAATTAATATATTTTCTATGTATGTATTTGTGAAAATGAATGTGTATTTCCTGCCACCATACTTTTTATTAATGTGGAAGCGTTTCATTATTTGTACACAGTTGAATATAAGTGAAATTTATCTACCAATCATAGGTTTTGTTTCTTCTAAAATTCGAAATTATACACTGAATTAGTATTGGAACAGCACACTGAATATTACGATCGTATCTAATTTATTCAAAATGTAAATATAAGATTACTATAAAAATTATAAACACTGCCATTCATATTTACATGATGATAGGCGTAATGTTTGTACACTACCCCAACACACCAAGAAGGGAAGACAATGTTGCTGATGTAATACGAACATTCACACACTCCCCCAAAATCTACGTTCTCCTGAGACCCTCTGTACTTCACCTGTTAATTAATACAAGGAAACCATAAATAGAAACAGTATCGATATTTTTAAAACTAACCTAACCTAACCTGTCTGTTATTACTACAAAGGTGTATCTATTAACGGATACTAGAAAGTTAAGTGTTGTTCTGTATATAACTTACAATGAATCAAACTTTGGAACACTGAAAGTCCAGTGTCTTAACCAACTATTGTTTTCTTTAATAATCTTTTGGATATACTGCATAGGATCACGTGTAATTTAGCTACCTTAAGCTTATTTACTTTTAAGATTAACTAAGCTAAGCTAAGCTAAGATGAACTACAATAGTCTCATATAACTGACAATTCTATAAGTGCAATGAATAAAAAAAAAATTATGAATCACCTGAAGATTAGACACTCTTTAGGCAACGTCATTAATCGCATGAGACAAAAAAAAATCACAGACGCTTTGACGCTTTGCCCTGTGGATAATACAAGGGATTAACTGACCTAATTAACTAACGTCCGCACCAGGAAAATCTGAATCATTGTTGACATTCGAGAAAACGCTAAGTCATCTTTGTTGACATTCGAGAAAACGCTAAGTCATCTTTGTTGACATTCGAGAAAACGCTAAGTCATCTTTGTTGACATTAAGAAAACAGCTAACTACCTCAAACATTTTACGTATAAAAATGTTAACATAAACGAATATTTCTAACAACACCTTGAGAATATTTAAGACAATGAGAGATAAAACAAAGACCAAGACGTGAGTTGATCTTGTGAAGGGATTAAAAAATATAAAGTAAAGTAAATTAATATAGTGTGTGTGAAAGAGAAAGCATCCTAGTGAAAATATGATTTGTACAGACACTTTCATAGGAGACATTAAGTAACAACTGGTAACTTATCACCAGCTGAGACAACAGACCTCACCTGAAGGGTTGATGGCGAGTGAGGTTGTAGGATAATAAAGTTTTGAGGTTGTGAAGTGAGGGGGCTAGTCTGGCTGTCACACTCTGCCTGTTGCCTTTTGCAGTTTGCCTGCCAGAGGTAAGCAACACCACCCATTGCCGCAGCTCTGCCCGAAGGTGTTCATTTCCTGCACCTCCCTAATAATGAGACATCATAGTGTTATTTTCTTTCATCTGTTGTTGTATACACAGCTTCATAACGGTCACATACACACACACACATACACACACACACACACACACACACACACACACACACACACACAGTGATAAAATCAGCTTATTTAAGTCATGCCATAAACTGTTGCTAAAATCGTGCTTGATAGTTTTATTATACATGCTGCCAATACTACTGTATCAGTTTCAGAACCCAGATCAAAACTTTGAAGGTAAAACAGATGAAGAATGACAATACAGAATTAGGAACATGTAGGCTGTCATCTTCCCTTTAAAGTTCTAGAAACAGAAGGTGATGGAATTGACAGAAAGGCATCAACTCAAGGAAGGGGGTTGTAACTGACTATCAACAAGAGAAGGATACGTAACACTTTAGAGCTCAACACCAGACTTTCTTCATTGTCAATAACCTCAAGTAATTCTCCCTAATATTGTTTCCCCAAATGTGCGTTACTTTACCCAACCATGAGTAAATTTTCCCAAACACGAGTTACTTTTTCCCGGAACACTCCTATCATGGTGTCCTAAATCACAGTGAGCGAGATTTTATTTAATTTTAACTTCAAACGATATATCACGACAGGAGTCAACACAAACAAGAAAGATATACCCTATATTTTGTTGTGTTTGTGTGTGTCTGGGTGTGTGTGTGTCTGTGTGTCTGTGTGTCTGTGTGTCTGTGTGTGTCTGTGTGTGTGTGTGTGTGTGTGTGTGTGTGTGTGGGGTCATAGTAAACATTAAACTGTCTCCATGGATGAGATTCTTTGAGATGTGTCTGGTCTTTTATGAAATCTTTGTAAGTTGACTATTTATTTAACATCCCAGAGTGGTGTGTGATTAACGAATATGATGGCAGTAATGAGGGAGCTGAGTCTACACCTAATGTGTCAGAAGACTTCGTAGTTGTCTTTGATTCATTGTCAGTAACGAGGTGAGAGGGATGTGGTGAGAGGGATGGGCTGAGAGGGATGTGGTGAGAGGGACGCGGTGAGAGGGAAAACAAACATAGAGACGCGGTTGGACGATATGTCAAAGAAAACATCGGATAAGATTAGTTTTTCCCTTTTTATTATTATGATGTATATATGTATGTATGTATGTATGTATGTATGTATGTATGTATTCTTTTATTATATCTTGAGAGAGAGAGAGAGAGAGGGTAGATTGCAACGAACATAATGAAAACTATTAAAATGGTGGAGGCTTAAAACACACACACACACACACACACACACACACACACACACACACACACACACACACACACACACAGACACACACACACACCATGCCTGACAAAGTATGAGGGGGGCAGAGAGAGTTTTGAGTACAGGAACCAACCCATTATTTTGTCACTAACGAAGCACAGTTTACCTTTCATTTGAGTGTGTGTGTGTGTGTGTGTACTGTGCTGAGCCTAACAACCGTGTGTGTGTGTGTGTGTGTGTCGTTAATAGCGGCTTCAATCTCCCATATATGTACAGTTAAAGAAATGAATGTGTTGGCAACTATACTCCCCCGAGAATTGTTGTAGTAAGCTATAGTTGGAGTGGTGGTGGTAGTAGTGGTAGTGGTGGTTATATTGTAGTGTTGGTAGTAATAGTAGTAGTAGTATTTGTAGTAACGGTAGTATTATTCGTGGTAGTGGTCGTAGTGAGGGATAAAGTGGCAACATCACCGCCACCATAACAACAGGGAGGTCGTGTATAAGCTTACGTAAATAGCACTACAGTATGACGTTAGTGGGTACTGTACCGTGTTTATTATAAATTCCCTGTACCGTTATTGATTTCTCTATTATTATTATTGTTTTATTATTATTATTATTATTATTATTATTATTATTATTATTATTATTATTATTATTATTATTTCTTGAAGGTTATTTTATTGTACGGAGTCGACGTCTTCTTTAACCTCTGAGTATAGCTTCATACCGTAAGGCACCGATACAGCGTTATTCCCTGATGCTCCGACATGCTGAGTAAATAAAAAATAAATTGAACTCCTCTGTGTCTCATTATTCATTTATTCATTTTTTTCTATTAGCCAGCGGTACGTTGGAAATATGAAAAAAAAAAATCTGTCGGGACTGGGTGAAAATAATAGTTTTAAATCAGTGATACATATATTTTTTCATCATCTTCCATCATGTTATAGACGCCACGAAGCTAACAAAATTCCCCTTAACTCTGGGAGCGTTGGCAGCTACGGTATCTAATCCTACATGGAATCAGGATTCCC